TACATCAGGAACTCTCCATCTTATTTTGGAATAGGTTGCTCAGCTTTATTTTTCTACTTTATTGGTTTTCCAATTCTTAGACAAAACGACAAGAGTAAAAAGTAAAACATGCATGAGCGTACCTTAAGTTTGATTGACTTGACGATTACTCAGAAAATAGAGGGTCGTTGAGATATTTTGCACTCATTTTGTGCCACACCGAAGCTTACAGTCACGTTAAACGTGTTATGTTATTTTTTCTATTTCAAACTGATTGGTCATGAATTTTTTGCGTTATTTTTGAAGGGTTGGGAGGGGTCGGGGGGGGGGGTTATTATAATAATTGTGTTTTGCTCTGTTACGCGTAATACATTACACTTATTGTTCTGTTCCTTTACTTGAGTAAGTCTATGCTAAGAGATCTACTGATGGCCTTTAAAAAATAGTTGTAACACTCACAGCTATAAAGAACCAAAACAAAGCAAAAATTTAAAAAATCATAATGTAAGCATTACTTCGAATTAGAAAACGGATCAGTTTGATACCTCATACACTCGAAGAAGGGGCCATCTTGGCGACGAGAGGCGCCATTAAGGCCTACCAAAAAAACATCTCAGTGACTATCAAAATGAAAGTTCTGAAATGCTATGTATGGTCAACCCTTCTATATGGATGTGAATGCTGGACAATCACTAAAGACAGTGAAAGTAAAATAGAAGCAACAGAAATGTGGTCTCTTAGGCGACTGCTGAGAATATCTTGGAAAGAAAAGAAATCAAATGAGACAGTGCTTGATGAAGCTCATGTGGGACGCTTACTGATATAAACATTCAGGAAAAGACAAATGCAGTTTTTGGGACACCTGAATAGACATAAATTTCTTGAACATCTAGCTCTCACTTGCAAAATTGAATGCCAAGGGGGCAGGGGTAGACCTACTTAGGGGGGCTCTCGCGGCCTAGAGGTTAAGGTGTTCGCCTCTCATTCAAAGGTCCCGGGTTCGAATCCGGGTAGCGACCAAAAAATTTTCTTCTCTAAATGTGTCTCCTTTCACCTCCTTTCCTACTCTCCAGCAATGTTCTGTCGTCTGCTTTCGTCTCCTCTTTCTGCACCCCACCCCTTCACCTGCTTTGCCTCTTCCTCTGGGCTCCTGATTCTTTC